AGAACCAGCATAAACCAGCAAAGAACCAGCATAAACCAGCAAAGAACCAGCATAAACCAGCAAAGGACCAGCTTAAACCAGCATCCCAGCGTCAAAACATACCTAACCAGCATATGCTGTTTTTTTTCAACAGTGTGAGTCATCAATATCATTTATTTTCTTAACACCCCCACATATTGGTCTAGCGCCCCCTTAGCACCGGTAGAGAAAGAATTCTGGCGCCGTGCCTGTTATTATGAGCAGAGGCGGACTTAACCATTAGGCAAAGGTAGGCGACCGCCTTGGGCCCCCAAAAGCCAAGGGCCCCCTAAAATGCTTTTTATATGCGAGAAGCGTGTTCAATGCGGACGCGGAAGTGGTTGCTCTGGTGTTCATTACCACGACAACCGTCTGTGCGTCCGCGTTGAACGTGTTTCTTAGCAAAAGTAGGGCGATGTAGAAAATGGGGACTGAATCCTGGAATCTATTCATAAAAACGGAATTTACTGTGTAACGCGGAATGTGATGGAATGAACGGCGCAGACGTGCGTTTCGTTTGCTATTTAAGCACGAGCAACGCTCGCGGTTGTCGTCTGTAGTAGCTAAATAGTATTTTTGCCATTTAATATTCACATACACTAGTCCATATCGCGGTTTGATTGAAGTGTACTGAATTGCATTTGATTTATTCATTCAATAGTTGACGAATTCTGTGACATTGCTCGTTACACAGTAAACTTCTGTTGTGTAGCATTTTGAATGTACACAAATTAAAGGGTTTAATTAATTTTCATTGGAATAAAAGATAGATTCATGTTTTTGCCTTTGATTACCAGAAACATGAAAATACACAACACAGAATTTCTAAAAAATAAGTAAATAAAAGTACAATTTCATAGGGCCCTATTATTGTATACAAATTAATAAATTAAGTTGTTTTCATGAATTCAATTAATTAGTTTTTGATTAAGCCATTAACATGGAATACAGAAAAATTAAAATGGAAAGCGCAGAATTTGGGCCCTAAGAGTGTAATTTTTGTTAAACTTTTAATAGGCCTAAACTGCTGTTAAATTAAACAAGTTTCATGATTTTAATTAATTATACATGTTTTTTGTTCAAATTTAATATAGTCATCCAGAAAAATTCAAATGAAGAAAAAAAACTGAATACAAAAAAATTTTAATGAAAAAAATTTAACTTAGGCTAACTTGGGAAAAATAAAACGGATTTCATAGGGCCCTACAGATATCATG